AGGCAGGCAGGCAGGCAGGCAGGCAGGCAGGCAGGCAGGCAGGCAGGCAGGCAGGCAGGAAGGAAGGAAGGAAGGAAGGAAGGAAGGAAGGAAGGAAGGAAGGAAGGAAGGAAGGAAGAAGGGTTATGAAGATCTGTGTTTCATAAGTCCTACCCATAGCACTTAAAATTACATATTACCAACACATCACAAAGTCGGTAATGTGGTCTGGTTTGGATGACCAGACAAGTTTTCAACTTGTGGGGTGTTTAACCTCTTAATTGTAAATGTTTTTTATTTGTTTAGATAAATATTAGTATGTGAACCTTTTCGGTCTGTATGTGCATTCTCATGTTAAGGATGCAATTCTAAATGTAGTGCCCAAGAAATAAATATGATCGATTTCTGAATGGGTAAGCGGGGTTTGCACTCTAAATTACTATTACCGGTAGTTTTGCTTTGTAAAGAAAATCAGCGACAAAGTAAAGATTAATCCAGTGATTCATTCAAAAATTTAAGTCTCAACAATTTATTTCTTAAAATTAATAATGGGAAGATATCTTGAATATTGCAATTAAGCTAGTAAGCAAAATATAATCGAAGCAAACAAGTTTCTATGTTTACTCAATTCAGTCGGGATTTGCTGTACTGTACATGGGATAATCCTATCCATTCCTTGTAGCATTCGGGGAGGGGGGTAGTCTTTTCCTTTTCATGGAAAAAGTGATTCTATTCTTCTTGCCAGTTGTAGCAAGAAGGGTGTCCAGGAAAGCCACCCAACTTGGTCCAGCCTGTACCATTCCCCTTCTCCATGATCCAGGTCGCATTTTGCCTTCGGCCTGAAGCCAGAGGCAGAACAGCCTCTGGCAAGAGCCAATCAGAGCGCGCTTTCCAGCACGTGGAGGAGAGGGAATCAAGAGCTAAGCGATTGCAGCTCAGTCATTACCCTGGTTCCTCGTGTCCTGGGCAGGAAGAGGGGCTAGCCTCAGCTGCTGCTTAGTGGGGGGAGGGGTATCAGCCCCAGCCAGACTTCAACCCCCGCACGGCCCGGGAGAGTGCAAGCAAGCCAAAGCCATGAGCAGCCAATACCAAGAGGAGAGCTGCTCCGAGAGGCCCGAATGCAAAAGTAAATCGCCAACTTTGCTCTCCTCCTATTGCATCGACAGCATCCTGGGCAGGAGAAGCCCTTGCAAGATGCGGATGCTAGGAGCACCTCCTAATCTTCCGCCTCTGGCCAACCGGACGGAGCCGGACAAGGCCGGGCAAGGTGAGAAGGGTGGAATGAGGGTGGGAAAGGGAGGGAACACAGCTTCGAAGAAATGAAAGACTGTCTTGCCCGCAGTCTTGAATATCGTCAGATCCCTTTCACTCCACTCTTGGCCCAGGGACTGCATAGGGAGGGGGGCGCTTCTAAGTAACTGGGTCCCAAACTCGGGCAGTCCCAAGTTGAGCAGTCGGGCAGCTGAAGGCCGAATCACACTCTCTCTCCCTCTCCCTCTCTTCTCACTTTACGGGTTTGTGCGGGTGGCGTTGTGATGACAAATGTCAACCGTTGTCAAGAGTTCCGTGCTGGTATTTTCTCCAACTTGGCAGCGCCTTTGCCTGCCAGGCCTAGATTAAAGGCGAAACCATCTGGGTGACGGAGGGGGGCAGTTCAGTCTCCAAAGCTTGAGGGAAATTGGATGTTCCCTTCTGATTTTCCTCATGAAGGGAGAGAGGAAGAGAAATCGGTTTCTTCTAAACCACTTTCTCTCCGGTCTGGAGTTTCAGGTTTGGCTTCAAGGGCGGGTCTGTCTTGCTACGTCCAAAGAAATGTGGAAATTAATTTGACAGAACCCCATAGGTGTCAGATGCCAGGTGGAGGAGGGAGACTCCCTTTAGTTGGTAGTTGGAGGTAATAATGTTTGAAACCAAAATGAGGTTGGGAGACGTTCTCTGGCAATGCTGTTTGCTGCAACTTCTTTCAAATATAAGCTTGGTTCTATATTCTGCCTAACGGAATTCCTTTTGGCTCTATTGACCCAACCTAGACAGCTGAGGAGGAAGATGGGCGGGTTGGGATGACTGGTGCTGGGACTTTTTGCTGGAGGGGTCCAAGTACTGTTGCCAAGAAGTCTATCTTCCTCCTCAGCTGGACTGACGACCCGCGAATGTCTCTGTCTCTGGCAGGACCAGGCAAGGGCAGCCCGCCCGGTTTCGAGATGGGCGAGCTGCATCTGCCGCCCAAGTTGCGCCGCCTCTATGGGCCTGGTGGGGGCCGATTGCTGGCGCGGGCCGAGGCAACCGCCTCGTCGTGGGACTCTCTCAAGATCAGCCAGGCGCCACAGGTCAGCATCAGTCGAAGCAAGTCCTACCGGGAGAACGCGCCCTTTGCGCGTACCGCTCGTACCCTCGACGACTTGAGCAGCCGTGGAGATGGCGGCGGCCCCGACGGTAGGCCAGGCCGAGGGGAGGAATTGCTGGAGGAGGAGGACGAGGACGAGGACGAGGAAGAAGAGGAAGAGGAGACCGAGGAACTGGATGAGGAGTTGGACGAGGACGACGAACTGCTAGCCGAGGCCAAAGATGCCCGACGCAGCTCGGGGTCCGCGGGTGGGACTGGCGTGGGACCTGCGGCGATAGGAAGCGAGGGTGCCGGCGACTCGCCCAAGGAGGAGCTGCTGCTCCCAGCCGACGAGCTGGCCGACGGCAAGGATGGTGAGGACAGCGTGTGCCTGTCGGCGGGCAGTGATTCCGAGGAGGGGTTGCTCAAGAGGAAGCAACGCCGTTATCGCACCACCTTCACCAGCTACCAGCTGGAGGAGCTCGAGAGGGCCTTCCAGAAGACCCACTACCCAGACGTCTTCACCAGGTAGGGAATGAACTGCTGAGACAAGCTAGCCTCCAAGCGGCTCTAGGGTAGGAAGGGGTTTCTAGGTCAGAACTCTTAGGAATGAGGAAAGAGAGCTGCAAGATCAAGAAAGGCGGATAGACTGGGCATAAGATCCCCTGGGGCGAAAGGTTTTACAATATTGGTTTCGGGTTTTGCATGTACAAGATCAGAAGGAAACGGAAGGAGGAAACAGGTAAGGCATAAGAAAGGATACTGCAGGCCTGGAAAGAGGGAAAAGATTTGGTAAAAAGAGGAGATGCGCCTCACGGGTCTTCTTCAGGTCGTCTTTCACAAAACTCATTTTGGTGCCCCGCTTTGCTTCTCCCTTCCGCTATTCCCGTGCTTTGGGGCAGTCACCTTTCCCCAAATTCGGCGGCCTTTACGAGTTAGCGCGCCCGGCTCTCCGCTGGACTTCAGGCATTAAGCTAGTCTGCCAAGGATAGGTGTGGCCGAATTTTTGACCTCATCGTTGCCAAACCAATCTATTTTTGCCCTGATCCTCTGGCTAGTCGGTCAGGTATCAGTTTCATAGTTTTCCGCTGAAGCTGGAAAGTTGCCCTCTCAATGGAAGTCACATACATACAGATAGGAAAAGATCAAAGTATTCCGCGTTCGAAGGCTAAAAATATGGAACGAGGCGACAGCGTTCGGCCGGGGCATTTTGGCAGAGTCTGCAACGGCTTGCTTGCCTGCTCGCAGACGGTAGTAATTTCTGGACGGGGTTCGGAAAATAGGAGATGGGAAAAAATGGAGCTGGGGACTGGAAAGTTGTTGCTATTCTTTGGATGCGCCTCAGCTTAGAAAGGAAACTCCGCTCAAGCTGAGAATTACCGATCTTCTCCTGAAGCGCTGGGCAGAACTTTCGGTCTCAGCCTCCATCCAAAAGTAAAATGGCTTCCTGAATATTTGCATATTTAGTGGGAAAATCTTCGCCTTTTCTTAGCTTCAGATTTACTTTGGGTGATCTTAATTCTTCGTATTAGCCTTTCTGAATTAATCATTAATAATAATTAAGTATTCAGCCCTTGCCTTCTTCATTTTTGCAGGAGCGCAAATGCTCCCAGTCTATTGCCAACAGATAAGCAAAAGTAGACGCTGCTAATAAAACTCAACTCAGTCCCTTCTCTAAAACGGCAGCGGGGGTGGGGGCGGAGATATTCATGTTGAACTGCAAAAGGCGTAGATTCTTTGCCGGAGCGAGTTTATTCTACCAAGTTGGTAGGCAATTTTCCTGGGTGCGAATAAATTCTCCGTCTGTAAAATTGACAGTTAACTCGGTCTTCTCCTTTTTATCAATTGTCTGGGATTCTTCCTCTACTTTTCTTCTCTTCTGAGGAAGAGAGAAAGAGGGGGGAAGGGATGTCCCTTTAATTCGTTAACCTGCCACAGTGCATTTTATTTCCTCGGGAAAAGGGACTGCCTTTGGATGATGGAAAGAAACTGGCGGATCCCTTGTTAAGGCATTTTTTTCGCTAGCCTTTTATAGATGCTTATTCTGTACCGTCAGTCAAATTCGGTTGTTAGGCTACAATGCCAGGTTTCGTCACTGATATGCACGCTACCTTTCTAGCCTAGGCAGAACCCAGAAAATCGCTCCGTCTTTTCCCTGGAAATGGATCAGCGGAGCACACCAAGCAGCCTGATTCCAGTGCCAAACTCCCGATATATGGCCATGGGGGTGATGCCGGTTTTTCCACTGCCCGGACACACATCAGTGCAGATATGTGCCGGGTTCTTTAAATCGTTCTTGCAGATCGGTCCGGGGGCTTCCCTTTTGGCAGCCCGAAGGTGCTGGCTATTTTTTCTTTTCGAATCCGGCTAGACTCCCACTTTGGTCGGCAGTGCGCTTTTCTTCCGAGCGGAAAGAGAGCCCGGAAATTATCCCGGGAGTCTCCCGGATTCGAAGTAAACAGATTGTGAGCAGTACCCTAACATCCTAATGGTTTCCGATTTGCTTTAATTGTTGCAATAATCACCGCAACGAAGGGCTTGTGTTGCAGCTCAATGGATCTCCCCTGTGCTGCAGCGTGGTATTTGGAGGTGGGAGCCTTCGTCAAAGGCCTTGGTTGGGGGTGCCAGAGAGGAGGTGGGCTCCGACGTGACTCCTTCTGGGCAACGCTGCCCTCTTTCGCACCTTCTTTGTGGAGAAAAAGGGAATAGTAAGAAAGCAAATTGAGTTTGGGGAAAAGCAACAAGTAAAGCCTGTCTGGGCCATCTGATACCAGGCAGCAAGCTTGAGGCTTAGGGTAAAGTATTTCCATCTTTGACCCAGGAATGGAGAGGAAGGGTGGTCCAGGGAAAGCTCAAAGTGTGGGATATCGCACCACCACCAAAAGACTTTAAGGCAAAAAGCAGGGGCCTAGTGTGATATGGAGCTGGGCAGATGGGGTTGCTTTGATCTGAGCAAGGAAGGAGGAGGAGGTGGAATTGGTCCATGGCCTTCTGCAGATTTTATCTCACTCTACCTGTTCCGGGACCCTTTCAGAGTTTCACCTGAGCACCTGTCTTGTACTTCTTTCCCTCCCAGGGAAGAGCTGGCGATGCGCCTGGATCTGACTGAAGCCAGAGTGCAGGTGAGTCGAGGGGGAAGGGGTTGGAAAGATATCAGTTGGACAGGGGAGCTTCTAGTAGGGCAAACAGAATGCTTTAACCATTGATTTCATCCTCTTGGATTCATCCTCGTTTGCCCACCCCAAATTAAGTTAAAAAATTGAGGGAACTGCTGTGCTTCTCCAATTTTTTTCTTTAGGAGACAATGTTCAGGAGGTCCTCAACAAAGCTTCCTTTCTTTCCCCATTGCAATTAACACTTCTGGCAATTTTTATCCTCTCCAAAAATATCTCAAAAGAGCAAGCTAGGCATGTTGGTACAAGAGCAAAAAAGGACTCAGAAGAGGACAGGGGGTTTCCTTCTCAACCCCCACCCCAACCTCTGAGAGCCAGCTACTGCTCCTGGTTTGCTTTTGGGCTTGAGCATACCAGGTGATTCAAGTAGGTTGGGCAGGAGGCAGAGTTGCCTCTGCAGCAGTGCAGGAGGCCAGCCATACCCCCCAACAGATGGCTCGGCCTTTGGGCTCTGTGCTGAGCAAATCACTTTACACAGAAAGCCAAGTGCAGCAAAAGCATCATAAATTCCATATGGCTCATTTAATACACAACAGCTTCTCGCATTAGAGGAGCTAATGAAGAGCTCAGTTCCCTCCTCTCTGTTGACACATTTCTCTATTGTCAAACAGAGCTGTGACAGCAACTCAGGATTTTCAGCTCAGGGGAATGAGTCGTGGGAAAGTTAAATAACTAAAAAAGAGTGAGCAAGAAACTGAGACCCCCCCCTTCCCCTCATGTCTTTCTTTCTCACCCTCCCTTTTGTTCTCATTCATGGGAGAAGATGTAATTAAGAATATGAATTATTAGAATCCCTTGGTTTACCTATGGGTATACTCAGACTTATTAATTCAATAAGAGGCAGAATTGGAGGGGCATGTTGCTAATTGAGTTGGAAGCAGGAAAGGCGCACTGGGAGATAACAAAGTTTTCATTGCATTAATGCTCAGTTCCTGGGCTGGCTGTGATAGGGCTATAAGAGAGCCTTCTTGGAGGTGATCAGAGCAAACCAGGAGCTATGCAAGGAAGTCACATTTTTTGCCAGTGTAATGTTTTCCTTCTTTCTCTTTCCCAAATTCTTTTCTTTGGTGGAAGTGAAACCAAAATTCTTAGAGAGCAAATTCTCATTTCCTGTTCCTTTCACATTGTTGTAATTGTTAATGTGACTATGCTACTTAAGCTATAACACTTTAAAACAGGACAAAAGATGCCAATGGCTGATATAAAGTTATATTATTTACTTTATGGAAATTCATTTAGTCAAGTTTTGGTTAAAAAGACATGGGAATGGACAGATTTGCTCTTTCTCGGGAAATAACTAGAGGAAGGGCAGACCTGCAGAGATTGTTAATGATGCTGCAGATGAATAGCTGCAAAAGATTATTTACTGCTATTAATTCTGCCAAGTATCAAAGTCTTTAACATGTTTAACCTGCCACCTAACTTGCCAAAAGCATTCAAGCATTTGCCAAAACCTGTGGCACTGAGAAAGGGAAGGATAAAATTACATGTAAAGTTTTAAAGACATCAGGAAACATTAGATATTGCTTATTGAATATTGTAGCATATTTATTTATTTATTTATTGAATTTATATTGCTGCCTATTCGCTCATGGTGACTCGACTATATCTTATGCAGTAGTATACACTTCCCATTCACTATCCCCAGTCATTGGCGAGGCTACCAGAGGATGGATGGGAATTGCAGATCTAGATCAGATAGAAAAAGACTACATCAGAGAAACTCCTCCAAGAGAGAACCAGTAACAAAGTGCATATTTCTACTAAGAGAAATGGATTTTAAAAGCTTGTACCTATGGCTCAATCTGTTTTAAAGGGACAGATAAAGAATAGACATCAACAAAACATAAATAATCAGAATAATTTTCTATTTATATATGTCCAAGAGTTTCCTTGATACATTGAAGACAGGGGGACAATGTATATTTACCAGCCCGGGCAAACAGTCTAAGTCCCCCAAAACAGCAAAAGAGAAAAGAAATGCTGCATTAATGATACCACAAAAAGTAGTTGTATCCAATTGAATTTTTACTTTTGAATAGGAAAACTTGAGAATAAGTATGCCTCTGTCTGTTAGAATCGTTAATTTAGATGTCTGCACTGCTGATTTCATAGGAAACCATGAAAAAGCTGCCCAATACCTTAAATTTAGGTGACTTTCTATAAGCCTTTGTTTTGGACATACAGAATGAAGGAGCTTTTGATCCATTCAGCCCTGCAATCTGGGCTTACTTCTCTTAATAGATAAGAGGGTCCATTTGCTTCCCTTCCTTCTAGAGAACAGATGAGAAACCTATAGTCTATTAGATAGATTTCATAACTTGTTTCCAGGAGATGGAGGCGTATTTCTTTCTACCGCTGCGGGAAAAGTAGAAAGGCGCTAGATTACTGGGTGGCTTTCCAGTGTAATTACCTAGGCAAGCTTTGGGGCTGAATCCCCTCTTCCCCTGCTGGACGGGTCTGGCGAGGTTAGGAGCCGATCTCTTGTTGGCTGCCTTCCGTAATGTCTCAGTGCAGCCCGGAGACGGGTGATCGGGCATTTGAAGATCGTTTGCCGGCCGCCGAGGAGTAGGAGCGGAAAGGAGCGCGCTTACTAATCGCCTTGCCCTTTGTTTTCTTTTGGCTTCCAGGTCTGGTTCCAGAACCGGAGAGCCAAATGGCGGAAGAGGGAAAAGGCCGGCGCTCAGAGCCACCCACCCGGCCTGCCTTTCCCTGGCCCGTTGTCGGCATCTCATCCGCTCAGTCCCTACCTTGATGCTAGTCCTTTCCCTCCTCACCACCCAGCTCTCGACTCCGCCTGGACGGCGGCCGCCGCCGCCGCCGCTGCCGCTGCCGCCGCCTTTCCCAGCCTCCCCCCGCCACCTCCGGGCTCTGCAGCCTTGCCCCCCAGCAGCACACCGCTAGGCCTCAGCACTTTCTTGGGAGCGGCTGTATTTCGGCACCCGGCCTTCATCAGCCCAGCTTTTGGCAGGTAAACTCCCCATCCCGTCCCTGGTGCCAATTGATCAGCGGGGGGCAACAGAAGAGGTGCTGAACTTGTCCCAGGGCACAAAGGTAAAGGGGGGGGCGTGTAGATCTAGAAGCACCTATTTCTGAAGTCAAAGGGGCGGAGCCAGGGCAAGTTGGTGTTGGGGAAGATGGGTGGAACTCTTCCGCCAAAGGATTTGGAACACCGACATTAAAAAAAATAACAATCCAGGAATGCTCAGGGCCAAGATTACACCCATGAAAGCTAAGGATGGGGGTCGATGGATGTCAACCTCCCAGATTTGCTGTCGGGCCCTGGCTGCGATTATTCAGAAGTTTTCTCTATCCAACGTAGGCTTGGCTGCGATAGGAATGGTGGTCCAATCTATTCACCTCATGTAGCTAAAAAATTCCATTTGGGAGCCTGTAAGAGTTTAGTTTCTTTGGGGAGGGTTGCACATTTCAGGAGTTCGTTTTTAAAATTATGGATTTGAAAAAAAAATCGTGCGAATCAAGTCTGATTTTCTATGTTCTAATTGGATAGAGCGCTTTATAAAAGCTTTGGCAAGTGCCTTTCGAAGTTTAAACGTACCTGTTAGAAGTTGGGTATCCCCCTCCCCCAATGATCTGGAGGTTGGGAATTAAATCCCTATAATAATAGAGTATATTTTACTCCAAATGCTTACAGAAAGAACTGCAATATACATTGGCATAAAGTGGGGACAGGGAAATCATAGGTGGGCCATATTTAATTAAACCCAATGCAACTAAAAATTCAGTGTTCGCGAGACGCGGCCAGGTTCCCTTCCTTGGACGGCAATCAGCTGGATAGAAAAACTGTAAATCAGTCGGGGGAGGGGTGATATTGTAGTTACATTTCCTTAGATAAATTCAAACAATGAAATAAAAAGCCTGTAGCTACAACGAGGCATTGCCGAGTTTATTAAAACTGGAAAGATGAAAATACAATGGAAATATTAACAGGAGAACAAAAGGAAAATATATTCATTGGGGTACGACGCCACTTAAAATTATCTCTTGGAGGAGGAATGGAAATTCAAATTAAATTAAGATTTTAAGGGGCGGGGAATGTTTACCAATGAAAATTAAACTGTTTCTGCTTCCTCTGCACAAGTAGAGTGACTCGATTTCCCAAACGTTACAGGATTACTACGCCCCCTACTGATCACGCTGTACCCGCGCTTTAAATGCTTTTATTTAAACTCTAAGGTAGCCTGGTGTTGCAGCTCGCTCCCGCCCGCCCGCAACACTGAAAAATAAGTTGCAAAAAGCTCGCTGAACAGCTTTGAACGGACAGCCTGCAAATGTAGGGGCAGGGTGGACGCAGGAAGAAAAAAAACGTTCATCCTCTTGAGCGAGATTTGCCTTTGCTCTTAACAAGCCACGTTTTTAAGAAGGCGTGCAGGCGATTTGAAACGGCTTCGGTTTCTATCTATTAATACCTATCAGATTCCCCAGAGTTGCGGGACTAAAACTGTATAATATTCCCAACCTCGAAGTTCCCAGTTGAGGAAGATAGGTATTGCAGATCTACTCCGCCTCCCCCCCCCCCCGCTCCTGCAGTTGCTGCCGGCCTCCATTCTGCAAAGGAAAGGCTACAGAAGTCTAGCGTAGTCAAAACCAAGGTGGCCCTTCTGAGTTGGACTGTACAAAGCCTCTCACTGAGCACGGCGGGGGAGCTGGGGACAGAGTTTAAACCACTCCAGACGGAAACCAGGCGCCAGCCCCGGTAGCCCGTCCCAGAGCCTAGCCAGTTTGGTCTTAGTCGGTCCCTCCCGTTGCCTTCCAGGCCCGCAGTTCAATTCCTCGCCGCGCTGATGTCAGTAATCACCTCCTTGGTTAATGGAGAGCTCGTGTCTCTCGACGTGCCGGTCAAAGAGGGTCAACTGAATAGCGTCGGGAGAAGCGCGGGCGAAAAAAGGAGCAGGGAAAGCATGCCGCAGATTGTGTCATTGCGAGGGGTTGCCGGAGCTTAATTGGAGTTCCGCTGTGAGGCAATCCGCTAGAACGCCACTCCCCGCTGGGGAGGGGGATCTGCGCGGCAGCGAAACAGAGAGGCGGGCGCCGCTTTGGGCATCCGGGCGCCGGGAAGTTTCTCATAAGGTGGGCGAGGGGAGTCACAGACGGACACTCTAATTGAGAGGGCGAGCGCAAGTTCGGCAGACCAGTTAAGGTCTATCGAAAGCCACCCCAGTCGTAGGTTGGAGGGAAGGGGGGAGAAGAGCCGAGGCAGCCGACCTCTGCCTCGTTACCTGGCCTCGCTCTCAGTGCAAGCCAGTTTCTACCGATTGCTAGGTTCTTGAAACGAGCTTCGGTCGCCAAACACGCGGGCGATCTACCAACCTATAAACGCGACTCTGCTTGCCGGCATCGAGGTTTTTCAAGCTTCCTCTTTCTCGAGCCTCCTCCCACAAATTTCGGGTTCAGAAGGGCCCTCGAAGGCTGTCCCGTCAGAAGCGGGCAGAGTTACAGGCAGAAGAGACGTCCTAAATAGCGGGAATGCGGGATTCAGTCCCCGGTCCGGGAGGAGGCCAGAAAGCGGACGCTCCTCGCTCTTCCCTAATCAGGCTCCTCCAGTTCGAGCTTGGCAAGTTGTCGCCTTCCCGACTTTTGGAGCTCTGAAAAGCCGTCTGTCCTGCAAAGAGAATAAAGCCGAAACCGAAATGGCAGCCCCCCTCTCGCCGCCATAAAAGCAACTGCGGGACTTTCGGCTATCTTAAGACTGACTGTCCCGCGTCTCCTTTGCTTGCAGGCTCTTTTCCACCATGGCCCCGCTGACTAGCGCTTCCACTGCGGCTGCTCTGCTGCGACAGCCAGCGCCTGCCGTGGACAACGCCGTGCAATCGAGCGGCCTCTCTGACCCGGCCACCGCGGCAGCGGACCGGCGCGCCTCCAGCATTGCGGCGCTGCGCCTGAAAGCCAAGGAGCACGCGGCGCAGCTCACGCAGCTCAATATCCTCCCCGGGAACAGCGCGGGCAAAGAGGTGTGCTAAGCCGCTCCCGGGGGGATTGGTGGGCGAATCGGCCGAGGCACGAATCCAAGACCAAAACGGGAGGGAAGCCAGCGGACATACGCTTTCTGGAGGGGGAAAGGAGGCGGGGAGGCGCCACTTCTGCGGCTTCCCTTGGGCCAATCTGCAGGAACCCACCCTCTTCGCCCGGGAGTTTTTCCCTGGCTAGATCGGCGACTTGGTCAGCAAAGCACCCCCCGAGTTGTGGGAGGCTGGAAAGAAGACCGGGAGGTCGGTGAAGTTGCTAAGAAAATGAAGGGCAGCGGAGGCCAGGTTGCGCTCTTCGCCTAGGCTGTTCTCACCGGCCCAGAAAAGATGCTTGCTGACAGAGCCAAGGCTGGGTCAAAGCCAAGTAGCGCACTTGGGGAGGGGTGGGTGCGGTCTCTTGTCCACCGATCACATCAATCAAGGGTTTTATAGTAAACCAAAGGGAAATATAACGCTAGTATATGGACTGTTTAAAAGTTACTATACTGTGATACTCGATACTGTACATACTGTTATTAAAAATACGAAAAAGAAAAAAACCCAGAGCTTTGTATATTTGAAATGTTATATAATTGCACTCAGTGTAGTGTTTGTACAAGTTTGTTATTTCTGTAGATTTCTGTGTTGTAGAAAATATAGGGACCCTAGACAAATATTTATGTGAAAATTCTTTAACTTATTAACTGTAGTTTCCCAAAACCCCGAAAGAGAATACCAGCAAGCCAGAGAAAGGCCATCGGAAACGTACGTTTGTGTAATGTTGTTATTGCTCTAACTTTTCCTTGCGATTAAGTGGGAAAGTGTTACCCATAGAAAATAAATATATCTCTCTATATCCACACGTTTATCAATAATTCCAAAAGCTACCTGGAGGTTCAGTGTCATTGAAAACAGCCATGCTAATAGCAGGGAGGGGGGGCGGTGTATAAGCAGATGTGAAAGATTTGAATCCTTTACAGAATGTGGAGAAAAGGCGGAGTTTTCACAAATGTTCGAGATGATTAGAAAAAGGCTTTGCGCCAAATTTTCCGAAAAAATTCTCAGACTTGGCTTTGGTTAGTGTAGAATCCTCGCCCACCTGCCAAACGGCTTGGATGGGAGTTCTGGAAATTGTAGTCGCAAATAACTGGAAGATACCAAAGAGGGAAAGTAAGTCCTGAACTGTGGCGTGGATGTAAAAGGATATGGCCTAATCCTGCTCATGTCTGCTCAGAGGAAAGTCCCACTGAGATTTTTGGGAAATGGGTGTAAGATCGTGGCCTTAGGCAGGACCCTTAAAATAGTTAACATCAATAGGAGTGGCCTATAGAGCCTCGGCCATATCAAATGCACTTACTGGGGAGTAAAACCAACCCAGCATAATAAGAATTATTCCCAAATCAACATCTTGTCTATTCTAACAAGGAACGTTTACTTCACCCTTTTCAATCAATGGGCACATTTTTCTTCCGCTTTAAACGTGAGTAAAGATGGTATGCACGCGCCTCCCCCATCTCTTTTCCTTCGCTGAAAATGTCTCTCTTCACAAGGGCGATTTTGGGAGGGAACTGAGAGACTTTTGCTTAGCAGCCTCCATTCCTAAGCATGGGCTTGTAGATCATGTCTGTCTGTCTCGAGAGGTTGGGGCCAGCCATGTACCAGCCAGCAACTGTGGGGAATGAGCTGGAGGTGTCTTGGCGCCCGCTCGGAGCCCTCACACATACAGGCTGGGTGAGGTATGAAACAGAGGGGCTGTCAGAGGCTGCTGGGCTTCATGGCCGTCTCTCCTGCCTGGAAATTTGGCGGGACTTTTCAGGACCAAGCGCTGAGGAACGAAAGTGAGGCTTGCCGCACATCGGATTTCTCTTTCCACAGGTCCCAGAGGCGGGAAGAAAAAGGGCGCTATTTTGCCACTGCTCCTACTGGCAAAAGCGGCAGATGCTGCCTGTCCCTTTCCGGGAGTCGGACAGTAGCCGCGTCTGAGCGCCTTCCTTCCCTCAGGCTGCATCCCCATCTCTCCCTTTTCCAAGCCATTTGACCTGCCATGGAGCTGAAGCAAATCGCGTGAAATTGCCTCCAAGGATTACATCGCCGTCCCAATTGAAAAACCCTTGAGCCCCTGGTTTACCAACCTCCTAATCCCATGTCACTCGGCTGCTACAAACAACCCCCCAAGTGAAAGGCCCCCTATTCTTCCGCAGCGGGGGGGGGGGGCGGCCTTTACAGTCGGCCGTGGTGGACGGAGCTTGTCCTTGCGCGCGCTTCAAAAAGGAATTTCTGCCTTCCCCGGATTAGAAGAGGGCCGGGCTGTCACGCCTGACAAAGCCCTCAAAGCCGCCACCGAAACCCACGACCTTTCCCTTTCATGGCTTGGTGGCTGTGGGGAACACCTATCGGGGGCCTTGCGAGAGCTCACCAGGCTTTTCAGCTTTGAATGGGGCTCTGGCAAGGTAGGAAGGTAAAATAAGGCCTTCCATAAACCCCACCTAAGGCTTCCCAGGAAGTTTCACAAAGCTGAGCTCCCTGCTCTCTTTTCTTTTTCTAAGACACTTTTCTCCTTCCCCCTCCCCTTGTAGCCTTCTGTACCTCCAAGGGCTGTGTTTTCTGAATAAGCTCAATAGCAAAAAATGGAAACAACATTTCACTTTGGGTAATTCACCAGAAACAACTGAAGCCAACTTCTCCTGAATTGCTTCGTTGTAAATTGATGCCATATATGGATAAGAAATGGTTGTACAGTACAGCACCTTTCATGTATGCATTACATATTCCCATTGCCACCTCCACCCAACATACACATACATACTAGGTCAAAGGAATTGGATCACAATACACCAGCACTGAAATAACCTAAAACAGGCCATGGCTTGCCCATAAAGGAAGACTTTTGGTAGATGTTGCAAAGAGAATTTAAGAAAAGGCTTCACTGAGATGGCTCTAGTCTAATGGAAGGCCTATATGGTGAGAATGGCAAATTTTCCTTCTGTGGATATTACTCTTCTCAGAATTTGCATTCATATACATTCATATGGGCTCTTCAGCATGTTTGTTTTTATGAACAAACTGAAAAATTCTTCCAAATAACCATAAATTTAACTGACACCATCTTACACACATATTCATTTTGGAGTATATATATTTAAAAACACCATAGGTACAAAAATATTTTTATAGAAAAAAACATTTGCCCCTGGACATGATTAACAGTAGAGTTTGAAGTACATATTTTACTTTAAAGGAAAGGGAATCATTATCAAGCCATTATGCATTAAGAAATGTCACTCAGTCATTTTTATTCATTCTACAGAAATCATTGTAAAAGCCAGAATCATACTTCTGCAGGCAGCAATTTTGTTAATCCAGGGGGTTTATTACTCTGGTCCCTTATTAGGATCTATACTACTGCCAAACAATCCTATAACCATCTCAAAAGAAGTTTACCTTCATGTTATAAAACCAGTAGTAGTATTTATACTGTGCAATAATTAGTGTATTACTTGAATCCACTAACAGGTTCATTTTATCTCTTCACAAAACCTCTAGCCTGCTTATAGAAAGCTTGTGCCTCCTTTGGTGCTGTTAAAGTGGTGAAAGAGTGAATGAAGGCTGGTAGCACTCTCTCTTTTTGCCTTGCCTTAATTCCCATCTCTTTTTGCTCTCATCCAATTAGTGCAGTGTATTAAGCAGTTTATCATCTCATAGTCAGCTATTGAGAGAAACAAGGCGAACACTTTGCAATAGAGCCTGCTCTCCTTTGACACCCTCAGGTACTTACATATTCTACTGTGCTATGAATAATAGAGGAAGAATAGGGCACTAATTCCCTCATCAAAGAATGCCTTGTCTGCTGCTTTGCTCAACAACACCATTCTGATCAAAAGAAAAGCAATAAAGCTTAGCATAACAAAACGAAACCTACTTATTAGCTTAGTGGTTAAATTAATGCAGAGACGCTGCTATTCAAAACCAAGGTTTGAAAACAGCCTCCAACAACCTGATAATGCTGCCTTCAGGATGAAGGAATTTTAATCTGAAATTTGAAGCTGGCACAGATGAATTAATCTATTAAACTGCTATAAGAGGAGTGCAGGATGAGTGGTTCAATTAAGAAATATTTAGGTGGTCAACAGAAGAGAAGCAAAGGAGGCAAGATCAAAAATAGGCTGAAGTTGGGAAATAGAAAAGTAATTTTTATCCAGTAAGAAATGATTCTGACACAAGATGAAACAATTTGTTGGGTTTCTTTCTTTTAATACTCACTGTGAAGTCTGGCTTCTAAGCTTATGTATCAAAACCTCTTTCCCCATCCATCAATCTTTGTTGCTTATTTTTAATTACACACAGAAAAGTAACAGAGCCCAGATTTCTCCGATGAACTCAGGCTTGTTCTTGGTGTTGTAATTCTACAGTTCAATGAATTTAATATGCACGTAAAGATTGATGTACACAAAAAAAGATGACTGACTCTGCACTTCTCAGTTTTTCCATTGTTAAAATAAGGTGAAACAGTCAAAGTAGGCTGTATTAGTCAGCAAGGGTCATATCAGTAGCAGATTTAATTGATGAAACAAACATTTACTTCTAACAAAGCATTAAACAAGCCAGCTTTATTTATTATATGGTGAAAAAAATCTTCTCTAGCAATTAAGAAGAAATGCAAAATTCCATTATGAAATCTATATTGATAAAATTTACATTTGTAGAAATAAAATATTTGTTCAAATGTTCTGCAGAATTCTATATAACAATGTATGTGAAATGATAATCTTGCTGAGATTATGTCATGTGCTTCTCTACGCATATACATTCATTATTTTTCATTTCCTCATATTTTACAAATAAATATTCTGAACATGGGCTATACCAAAACCTATGCAATATTTGTAAATACGGTATGTTATTCTAATTTAGGAGGAAACTGTGCTTTTATCCCTCAAAGTCTGAGCTACTGTAATTGGGCAGCTGATTATAGTAGTAATAGGTACTACTAATAAAGTACGGCCATCCATATGATAGTCTCCCTTAACCAATACTAAAATCATTTATTGGGAAAACAGAACATTGCAAAATAAACTTCCCAATCCAGAGCTGTTTACAAAGAAATATCTCTCTACGTCAATGCAAGGATGGGTTGAGCTACTAGACCCAAACTAATGCAAAATCTTTTAGAGGAGTTCTATTGATACATTGCAACTCAATTGCTCTTCAGCAATGCAAGATAAATCAAAGCAAATGTTTTATCTGATGCCTGTCATTTGTATTAATGAAAGCTGAAATAGATGGGGCATCACTACCACATTTGTTTATTCATCTGTCAGTACAATCAGGCAAGAAGTGGGGGATATAAAGTACAAATGCTTGTCCACCCATATAATTATTCTGTTTCACAGATATATTTCATATGAATGCACCATTCAGATATTTATGCCAATAATTTTATTATATTTTCTTCAACTATGTAAATGTTTACATCCAAATTTAAAATGCTTTTACATATACCAATAAATGTTATTACCATCATAGAAGTTAAGAAATACATAAATCTATATAAGGAGTCCAGCATCTCCCTTTCCAAGCCCAAAGACCCAGCCAGTGAGGTTGGATTGACTTTCATTGTACTTGTTAATTGTTTATTGGCAATTAAAAGATTATAATCATTATAAGATGTTTCCATGCTTTTATTTGCTTACTATAAGGCCATTCCTTTTGTCATCTTAGATTTACTCCATTTTTGTCTTAATTAGCTTCTTCTAATGGTAATAGGCTTCCCTATTTATTTTGATGACTCCCAAGAAATTAATGACTAACATTCAAACAGCTGAAAGAATTTGCAATACACAATCTCTTTGGCCTATAAAGAAGTCAGTTGATTCCTTTATATATAGTTTTAATTCAGTTATGCTACATCATTGCAACACAATACTCTGGTATATCCTCCCAGAACAAAACATGTCATAATACCATATAGTAGATAAATTATGAAAAGATAATCCATCAGTGCTCCTATACTTTTGTTAACTTCTTTTCCTGAAAACACTTCTTGCTAAATGCCTTGATTAAAGTCTAGGATCAAATACATTCTAGCAACTCTCACTGGAAATTATTGGGTTAAAGGAGCTATTTTTCTATTTCTTGCTTCCATTCTAGGTCTCAATATACAGCAACCTATTATAAAATCTAAATTGTGAGCTGTCTATTATATTCATCAACTTTTAATCTGCTTTTCTTTTATATATTTTAGTACTGAATAAACTTAGATTTTAAAGTATATTAGTTTTCTTAATCTATAGCCATACTAGTATGCCTCAGTAAACAGAAAATAAGAGAAAAAAGAAGATTACTGCCTATAAACGGAGGCCACAAACAACATTTTTAAGTACTGGACTGATCACCGGATTTTACTATACTGAATGTCTGAAAGAGTTTGCCAAGGTTTACTTCAGAATAGCTGCTCATAGACAACCATTTGTCTACTGTGTTCTTCAGCTTTTTGTATCCCTCCTTGTAGGCTTCCAACATCATCTTCAATTCATCTATAGGGATAGAGAAAATTAAAAGATTAGAAGGGAGGAATGAATTATTACTCAGCCATGCTTGGCAGAACTTTTATCTCTTTAAAACATGATGATCTCAAAACCCAGAATTCTTTGCAAGATGCCTGTTGATGAGCTTACTATTCCCCTGCTTACATTTTTAAAAGTACTTGGTTGGTATGTTTATACATGTGTCATACTTGTTATTTACAAAGATCAAGTGCATCAAGAATTAGTCAACCCACTTGTCATGCCCATTGGCACACCAGCTTCTATCAGTAAATGCTAGGAAGTATAAGTCCATTAATGCTGAGGGTAGAGAAGAACAGGAATGAGGGAATAAGATTTAGTTATATCACAGAACCAACTAACGATAACGAAGAGTTTTAACAAAGAAAACAAAACCAACTTTAGTGTCACAATTGTCTGACCATCTGCTTTCAATGTTATGAACCTTGTCTCCTGACTAAATTACTGAAGAGCTTTATAATTATGAGGACATTGGGAACTTTCTTTAATTGCTTATTATAAGGCATACAAAAGTCCCTACAGAAATACTCTGAAGACTATTAAAGTGAAATGAACATTCAGTTCCACACTTACATTTACCCCTCAAATTTTTAGAAAAGCCATTTATGAGGGCTGCAATCAGAAAATCAGAAATTCTCCTTATGAATTCATTTATGCACTTTTAAAGTGCTTGAGGAAATACTTGCAGGCACCCTTCCCCCTTTGCTATATGCATTAACACATTCAGTGGGAATAGCAAGCAAGTTGCATATTTTATTGAGCTACCTTTTTGGGAACATATAGACAAATAGGCTTTATAGCTAGATAGTCCATAGCTAACTTGAGAAAACAAAACTATATGCTACTGGAAGAACAAGAATGACTACAAGAGGTTGTCTTATATCAGATCAAGCTATCCCTTTAGATCAGATTGTTGACTAATTGGTAGTGGTCTCAGAGGCCCTTTCAAATTGTTTGCTATCAGAAATTACCATCCTCTCTGAAAATTGTAGCGCTGAAAACTAGGCAATTTATTGATGTTAGGACATAGGTAGGTAGATGATAGACAGACCAGCAGATGGATATAAAATTATTACAGGTAGTCCTCAGGTTATGAATGTAATGCCTGCCCATTCCATTCGTAACCCAAGGATTTGTGAGAGTGAATCTTGTATCTTGAACAGGATCAGTCCCTCCTTTTGCCCAAGCATTTGCTAATTGAATGTTTGTTAAGTGCACATGCGGTATTTTAGGGTGGGAAAGGCCATAGGGAGGTCTAGTGATGGCACAGGCCACCTGTTTAAGACCACCCAAGGCCTCCCTGACCAACTGAAATACCTCATGCTCCCCACAATTGCTTTCCCTCCACCCAACCTGCTGCGCCGGGTCACTTGCTATGGGAAGATCTAGCAAGCTGTCTCCTCTCCAGTCTCTTTGCTGCGTGCGCCCCTCTGCAGCTCCATTTTGGTGTGCACAGGCCTTACCTGGCACTTTGCTGGCCAAAATGGAGCTCCGTTTAGGCCTGCGCAGACCTTGCCCAGAACTTTGCAAGCCAAAATATAGGTTGCCTGCCCCCACCCCTCCATTTAGGCCTGTGCAGGCCAAAACAGAGCATGGTGGGGGGGTATTTTGGCTGGCAAAATGGAGGACAAATATTGCAGAGCTTCTGTGGTTGTTAAGGGCAAACAACTGCCATGGTGCTGCAAGATTCATATGTTTGGGACTTGTTTGTAAACACTAGGGGGCGCTGATTGTGTAAGTTCGATCGTTCACTAAGGGAACGCTCCTAACCTGGGGATAACCTATATACTGGAATTTACAAGAGCAGATCACTGTGGAGCCCTTAGTGCTTTCTGAACTTGATTATTTTCTTGCAGATATTTCAATATCCAACTGGTTGACATCTTCAGTACTGTAGTGCCACTGTAACAGAGCATTTCAAGACACTGAAGTTTGAAGATACCAAAGTCTAACATAACAATTCTTCTAGTAAATGTCCACTGCAACTTGCCTGTGAAATAGACTGGATCAAAGTCATCTAGTGAAATTATGTGACTCAGGATGGGCTTAGACTTTTAGAACTCTTAACCTAATATCTTTACCACTACATGACACTGGCACTCTTAGTAAATTTGGAAGAAATTTGGAAGAAATATACAAACTGTTTTTTCTATTTCATAAGGTGCATTATTCTAAGGCTCTGAAATCTTTTAAAATAAGCATTTTGGAATGTACAGGAGAATACATGAAACATGTTTTAAAATCATTGAAATATCTAAATCTTTTTCCAGGTTCACATAACTGTTTTAAGATGATGTTTCTGGTTGTCTCTGAAACATTTTGACAACATTCTGGCTGTCTTCTTTTTGCATTTTTTAGAGAAAAGCAATGTGCTTTTTTATCCATTTCCCAGAAAAAGATGCAACTGCTTTAACTATTTGAAAGAGTTACTTTGTATGCTTTCCTATAGCTTTTAAAGCATATCATGCATAGGTTTTGCAGAATTCTAGTTTATTGTTTTTTATTGTTTTACTTTTCTGTTTTTAGTCATTCTCATTTTATATAAGTTAGAGAAGTCCCAATGAATGCAGTGAATGTTACTAGTTCAAGAAAGCAAATCTCATAATTTTCCATCATCAGTCATATGGTGAGGCATGATGAACATCTAGGAGGGCCATACTTTCACATTAAGGAAATTAATAAGTAAGAATATTTCATTAAGGTTTACTATTACATGTAATCCTCACTTAACAACTCATTCATTGACTACTCGAACTCATAATGGTGCTGAATGAGTGGTAATTATAACTGGTCTTCATAGTTACATTGGTTGCAATGTCACCATGGTCATGTGATTGCGATCTAAGTGCCTGGCTTTCAGTTGTGATATGGCAGCATTTTGTGGTTATGTGATCAACATTTGAAACCTTCTTTGCTGCCATCCTATAAGCAAAGTCAGTGGAGAAGTCAGCAGTAAATTTATTTATTTATTTTATTTATTTTGTCAAGCATGCATTTGATAATATATATAAGTATAAACATGATTATCAATACAGGAAATTGATATGAATAAAAGGGAACATTAAGACAGGGACTGTAGGCATGTTGGTGCACATATGCATGCCCTTTACAGACCTCTTAGGAATGGGGGTCAACAGTGAGGTCAACAGTAGAAATCTGAGGTTAAAGTGTTTGGGGTTAGTGGAAGAAACCATAGATTCAGGTAGAGTATTCCAGGCATTGACCACTCTGTTACTGAAGTCGTATTTCCTGCAATCGAGTTTTATGCAGTTTACCCTGAATTTGTATCTATTGTATGCTTGTGTATTGTTGAGGTTGAAGCTGAAGTAGTCATTGACGGGTAGGAAATTGTAATGGATAATTTTATGTACGTTTAGGACGGACCGAAGGTGTCGTAGTTCTAAGTTATCTAGGCCTAAAATTTCAAGTCTGGAGGTAGAGGGTATTCTGTTGTGAGTAGAGGAATGGAGGATTCTTCTCATGAAGTATTTCTGGACTCTCTCAATCATATTAATGTCTGATATGCAGTGCGAATTCCAGACAGATGAGCTGTATTCAAGAATTGGTCTAGCAAATCTAGTTAGTAGTATAATATTACCGGAGAAAAAGCTTCTCAGGATTAGGTTAACAACTCTTAATGCCTTTTTGGCAATGTTTTTACAGTGGGCTCTAGCACTTAGATCATCAGAGATGAGAACTCCAAGGTCCTTGACAGAGTGAGAGTCATCTAAAAGGTCTTGTCTGTCAAGCTTGTATTTTATTTTCTGATTTTTCTTGCCAATATGTAAGACAGAGCATTTGTTTGTTGAGATTTGATGTTGCCACTTGTTTGACCATTCTGACACATAGTCAAGGTTTTTTGAAGTGTAGCAGCATTGTTGATGGTGTTCAATAGTTTTACATCATCCGTGAAAAGAACGTAGTTGCTTTTAATATGAGCACAAAGGTCATTTATGTAAAGTATAAAGAGAGCTGGTCCTAGAACGCTGCCTTGGGGGACACCACTGTTAACAGCTATGGGATTTGATAGGGTGCTCCCTATTTTGACCATTTGTTGCCTGTTTGACAGGAATGTAGCTATCCAATTTTGCAGGTGCCTGGAGATGCCATAAGATTTTAGTTTCAGAAGTAGTTTGTTGTGTACCACTGAATCAAAGGCTTTACCGAAGTCTATGTAAATTGCATCTATTGCTTTACCCTGATCGAGTTGTGTAGTCCATATGTTTTTGCGGTGCAGGAGTTGCAGATTACAGGATATTTTTTTTCTGAAACCAAATTGTTTGTTAGAGAGTAGGTTGTTTGTCTCTAAGTGGAGGGTAATGGATTGGTTAATAATTGATTCCATGACTTTACAGGTGATGCAGCATAAGGAGATTGATCTGTAATTTTCAACAAGGCTGGGGTCTCCCTTTTTGAAGATGGGGATGACAGTGGCCATAGGTTAGGCAAGGAGCTGGTCCATATGACCATGACATTCTTACTTAATGATCTATGGTGATTTGCTTAACAATGGCAACGAGAAATGCTGGAATTTCTGTCCAATATGACATTACAATTTATAACCACGTTGTTTAACAATGGAAATTCTGATCTCAGTTTCCATCATAAAGTAAGGGCATCCCGTATTCACTATTTTTCACTGTAATGGCTTTTACTGCCATTTTTTTCATTTGTCTAGTCACATCCATACTTTTATCTTATATAATATATACTTCTATATATTGTATGGTTTGTATATTCTCTTGCTTGGGTTTAGTTTTTTAAATAATAATTTTATTAATTATTACATTTAAAAAGGTAAAAGCTAATACAAAATACAAAAAAGAAAAAGTAGAAAGTTCAGAAAAGAAGAAAAATAGAAAAGAATAAATAGGAATATAGTAAAGAAAAAGAAAATACATATAAAGAAATCACTTTCTTCTCTCAGTACCACTGGAATACAATTCATGGCCAGCTGAGACCTAGTCTGC